TATATTATTTAAATAATTGTTTTCAGTGTTTAGAAAAGATATGCTTATACAAGTCTCTCAGAAAGGATCAAGTATGAACTATAAGAAGGATGAGAATTTGTCCCAGTTAGTTTACAACTAAATTATGTAACTAGTATAAGTTTCAAATAATTTATGAAATAGAAGATTGATACAATTTTCACAGATACGCTAAATGAGAAATTAAAAGGGCAATATATACTAACCACCTATTTAAGAGGCTACAACAAATGTTCTTCCTAAGCCTAACAGTATACAGATCAATTTCTTATCAGACTCGTACATTCAGAATAAGGCAAATCTCCTATCATCTTCCCATAGTCTTCCATACCCTCAGGTGCCCAGGCCACTCAGGCTGTCACCACTGTCCAACTTGCAGGCTTGGATGCCCACAAAGCAGATCAGAGTTGGTGGAGTTTATTTCTTGACAGCATTCCTAGGTTCACTCCAGAGGCCATATAGATATATCTTGTGCATCTTTCTCTACTACTTAAATCCATTTGTTATGCTTGATGGAATATTGCTTTTATTAAAAAGCATTGCTCACTGTACCAGGACACTAAGGTATGCCTGCTCATTTAAGGTTGAACAAGCCTAGTCAAGAGCTCCCCAGCTGCAGGTTGCCAGGGTAATACCTGCAGGAGTCACATGGAGGCAGGGCTCCGGGATATATAGGCTCAGGGCTGGAGATAGCAGGACACTTTCTCTCTGGCAACTGCCAGAGGAGGAGCTCTTGCTTGTGAAGGCTGCTTGAGTACCAATGCTTTTTGCTTTGCTACTCAAGTGCTGTGAGACTTTAGGAACCTGTCAGGTACTTAAGACTATGGGAGCATGCTGTATTAAGGGTGTAAGTTTGATCCTAAAGGAGGCGTAGTACTGTTGCTGTTGATGATACTTAAGTTATAACCTAGAAGCTTTTGTTTGTGTTTCTGTTTACACCGGAGGACCAGGGTGAGGCTATAAGGGGAGGTTTGGAGGCCTCATTAGTACCTGGAGATAAGATCCTAGAATTTGGGTAGTGTTAGAGAGAGAGAGAGAGAGAATTGCCCTAGTGGTGCAGATACAAGGGGTGCAGAGAGCCCGAGAGCCACAAGGGCACAGATATGAGGTTGCAGAGAGCCCTAGAGCTAGAGGAGCACAGCGAGCCCTAGCTCAGAGGGGTGCAGATATAAGGGTGCAGAAAACCCTAGAGCCAGAGTGGTACAGATGCAAGAGTGCAAAGTGCCCTAGCATCAGAGGAGTACGGGCACAAGAGTGCAGAGAGAGTCTAGTGCCAGCAAGGTGTAGATACAGGGGTGTAGAACCTAACACCAGAGTGGTGCAGAAGTGATAGATGGTAGTAACACCTGCGAGGCTTGGGACACAATAAAGGGTGGAGTTGTGTGAGAACCCTAGAAATTGGGATATTAAAATGGGCAGCCTCTTGCTTAGAAATAACTTAGTCATTACATCAAAGGCATGGCAAGCAAGATAGGTGAGCAGCCCATTGTGATGATCAGCCTTGAGATATACACCTGTTACATTCATATAGAGATGAGATGCCTGATGATGATGATGATATTAATAATGAGAGATAGCTAAAATTTAAGCAATTTTTCACTTCAAAACAGAACTCAATCTCCATTTACTTGATACAGAAGTGAGGCGCCCTCTTAAAAATTATGGCACTTAATCCAAATTACTGAAAATTTACAAGTAAATATATTAGTCCAGCAGTGCTCAGTCCCTGGCCTGCAGCATAGTGCCATCTTGCACACAGAGCACCCCAGAGGTCTGCAAGTTTGGTAATGGAGGAATGGTGAGATCACTCTCCTGTTGCCAAATTTCTAAACCCGTGGGGAAACCCAGGCCTGCACACTGGATCACATCCCTGATCCCACTGCACAGGGCCAGGTGGGGTGGTACCAGGCTCCAGGACTCAATCCCAGGGCATGGTGGCAGGAGGAAGTGGGGCCAGGTCTCAGATCCCAATCCTGGCTTGTGGGACTTGATTTAGCTGATGGACTGGTCCTACTCCATGCATCTGGCCCACCAGGTAAAAGAGGTTGAGCACTACTGTATTAGTCTGTCTATTATTAAAAAAAAAAAGCAGCAGAAACAATTAAGACATTTAGAATCCTAATGTCAGATTCTCTAGTAGGTTATTTAAAAAAAAATACACAGCAAACACTTGCTGAAATTGTATGTGTATAGATAGTTTTTGGTTAAGTAATCACCTTTCACTAAGGTTCCTCACCAAGCTGGCAAATAAATCTTCAAAAAAAATAAGTCACATGAAATTTACCCTCCTCTTTAAAATATCTGTCTTGTCATGATTGCCACTACCCTTCCCAAAGAGTTAGATTCAGACTGAGAAGGCACCCAAATAAGACATGTGACAAGGATGGAGAAAATGTTTTAACAGAAAATACTACAAACCCAAGAAATTAAGAATTAAATAAAATCCAAACATGTAAAAAAGATGGGAAGCAAACAGCTGGGGAATAAAGAAAATTCTAATTCTACATAATTAGAAAAAGATGTGAAGAAATCTTGTTTCTTTGAAAGTAATTTTTTATCCTGTCTGGAATTACAAAAATTAAATACCATGTTGTCACTCTACAGTTATTGCATAGTAACATTATTCTATGGCAGAATTAAAGTTGTTTGGCTGCTTTAACTTTATTTGCTTACCTTAAAATGTTCACATTTAATTTACATTTTTAACTCTTAATTTCCCCAATATATGTTGCTTGTTTTGAGAATAATTACAGCATCTGTGAAGTGTGTATTTTCTATCATTTCCAATTTAATATAAGCTTTTGGCCACAAAGAACAGCTAAAAACAAACAAGTTATTTCAAATGAGATTTTACTTGTTCAGCATTAAATTACTGAAAAATCTTTTTAAAAAACAAAACCCCCCAAAAAACCCAAAACAAATTGTTATAATACTGTAGCCTAGTAATAATGGTAATTTACAAAAAAATAGTAATGCTAGAGTGGTGTGACAGGTGTGATGGTCCAGAAAAAATGCAAGAGGAAAGGATTTTGTTAGTGATATCTTCTATTGGATCAACTATATAATTGGGAAAGACGAACTGTCCATTGTCAAGTCTTCCTTTTTACAAAAAGCTTATTTTTATAATTAAACATTTTTACTTTCAATATCTTGGATAAAATTATCCTTACTCTTTCTCTGTATCTCCTTCGCTTTCTTCTCCATGATCAAAGCTCCAATTATTTTTGAAACCTCCATCTCTCCTGGAATGTGATCTATCCAAGGCTGAAATGAGAACAAGTTAAATCTAAGTCTTGATTTCAAGCCAGGTCTCTAACCAATACAAACCCAAAAGCTAAAGTAACATGACTTATTTTCCAAGACACTTTTTTCATCAATAAAGCATTTAAATATCCTTTAGCACCCTGGTGTCAGATGAGTGGCACGTAGCCCATCTGTGCACCAGATAGGGCTCAGGATGCTGAAACCACCCCCTGCATGTTGGGATTAGACCCCAAGGGCCCAGCACCACACCTTCCAACCCACCAGGACTGGGTCCCAGGGAGAGGGCAGGTACCACTCACTTCTGTGCCGAGACTGGGTGTCGAGGGGTCAGCACTCCCCACCCCTGCACCAAGACTGGGCACTTGGAACCCGAACTGCCCCTGCCCAGCCCTGTGCACTAGGATCAAGTGCCAGATTCAGTACACAGGACCCAAATCTACATATGTCTCCAGTTTTCGCAGGAAGGGAAGAGGCAATTAATGCTGCCACCACTCCCCCACCACCAAGTTTCCAGACTCACAGGGAACCCCACACATGGGATCACTTGGTGCTGTAGGCCAGACCTGGCCCACAGACCAGAAGTTAAGCACCTCAGACTCAGCAGAATAAGTTTACAGATCACAGAACTGGCTAGTTTTTAAATCACGTACACATGATATAACAACACCTGTGAACACCTTTAACAAACTAATACAATGCTTTTTCTCTCTCATCTCATATCCCACCGTTACCTTCAGTAGCGATATACTTAACAACACATTATTAAAAAGAAAAAAACACTAAGTGAAGCACAAAAAGAGATGTGAACGAGCAGTGACTGCTGACTGTTTTTTGACATTTGTCCTTTCAAAGTTTCCCTTTATACATACTAAGTTTCACTGGGTCTTTAACTATCATATTTTTTCCCCATACGAAATGTGCACCTTTCCCAACCCTCCCATCACCCTCCTCCCTCCCCGCTCCCCCCCACCACCCCCGAAAGAGTCAGCTCCACAAAACTGCATGTATTAAGTTGGAAAGCTGATTTTCTGCCCAAGATAGAAGCGCCTTGCTTTGATTCCTGTCCAGTGCAACAGGTCTGGTATTAGTATTCAGGGAGCTGAAGAAGTTGATTGATACAGTGGCACCATTGTTCATCACTACAGAGGTGTTTACAATGGTCTCTCCTTTTTAAGGGTCCACTAACCAAGCTAACCATTCCTAAGACAATTTTACTGTCTACTAGGGCTTCTAGTCTATTCTCCTATTATGAGTTCTTTTCAAAATCATAGGTGTGTCCTCCTACTTCCAGTGGAGACCAGTCTTCAGTGCAACTACGGTTTCAGTTAAGCAGGGAGTTTAAACCATTTTCCAAATACAACTACCAAAGCATATACAATTTTTTTTTTTTTTTTTTTTTGCCTATTAACTGATATTAATAACCTACAAGGACCCAATTCTTGCAAACAGGTCAGTGGCAATGGAGGCAGCAGCAATCCCTCAATTCAAGGATGATCTCTACCATGGCTCACGCATCTAATCCTTGAGCCACCGACCTCATCCACAGAAGTGGCAGGTCCTTCCACAGGGGTAAGTAGGCCATAGGCTAGGATTTCTCTCTTTTTTCAGCATGTCTTTTTTTCATCGCGATCTCCAGAAAGACACCAAGATCCAGGCCTACAACGCAGTCATCATCCCCGCTCTCCTCTACAGATGTAAAACGTGGGTGACCAACCACAGTCATCTCAAGAGCCTGGAGATGTATCGCCAGCAATGATCCTCCACATCGAACAGGAAGATAGCCACACAAACCCCAGCATCCTTCCTGAAGCCAATGCTGCCACCACTGAGTTGGTGACCCTCAAGCACCAGCTTTGCTGGGCTGGACATTGTATGTGAATGCTCAACTCCCAAAACAAGTGCTCTACTCCCAGTTTAGTTGTGGCCTGCAATCTTGTGGTGGCCAGAGGAAGGGCTACAAGAACATATTGATGGCATACCTCAAGAAAACAGATGCCAACATCTAGAGCTGGAAGGAGCTGGCTGCCAGCTGACTCCAATGATGCCCCAACCTCAACTAAGCAGCAGCCCATTTTGAGGTAAAGCAACTTGCCTTTGAATTAAAGAAGAGATGGTGGAGGAAGGAAAACCAGAGGAATCCCATCTTATAGTCTCCCCTGTAGAAAGACCTGCAACTTCTGTGGACAGATATGTGGCTCAAAGATTAGACTTTTAAATCACCTTAAGACCCATTAATGAGCCATGATATAGATGAATTTTGAATCAAGGAACTGCCAACAACAGTATGATTTTGGATAAGAAGCATGAATGAGTACAGACACTACAGTATTAGCAATATGTCAGGAGAGATTTAGGCTGCATACAGACATTCAAATAATCTAGGAGAATTCTACCAGGTTTGTTCTCCTAGTAGAGAAACTTACTGAAAGCAGTGTGTACAAACATTCAAATGCTGAGACCCTGAAGAGTGGTACGCTTGCAGCCAGAGGAGGGCCCTGTGCACACATCTCTGCAGACTCCCTTTGTCTGGGAACAGATGGTAGCAGTGCATTGGGCAGCCTTAACTGGCTGCCCCAAAATGCCTAGGGTCACCTTTTCTTCCCTTGCAACATAACATAGGGATTGTGAAGGGGGAGATGTTCTGAGCAGCGAAGTCCAGAGAGTGACACACTGTCTCTGATGAGCAAGGGAAGGGGGGGGGGGGGGGGGAGGGAACGTGGGGGGTCTGGGGAGGGGGAGGGGGGGGGGGGGGGGGGGGGTAGAGAGAATGCTGGAGGACTACGTTCTCATCTGAGATAAATACAGACATATACAGACATTTGCTCTCTCAGGGGAAATTCTCCTGTCAGCGACTTAAACCAGGAAGTTGACTAGGTTATTTTTTCCTAGAGTGGTCATTTTTACTCTGGGAGAAGAATGTGAACTTCTTCATGCTCATGGTTTCTTCTGGGAGAGCAGCATTTCTCCCAAAAGAAACTGAATGTCTGTTTGAGGCTTTCAGAAGCTTCCAGGATTTCAGAGATTTTACATGCAGGAATACAAACACAGTTTTAAGGCAAGTAAAATGCATGGCTGGAATGTTGATGGCTAAATTTGGTAGGGGTGCACCGATAAAGATTTTGGGGGCCAATACTGATAGCCAATATTTAAGGAGGCATATCGGCTGATACCTATCCAATACAGCTGCCTCCAGCTGGTAAATCCAGTGTGGTGGAAGAGGAGGAAAGAGGTATGGGGGGCAGGCCAGAACAACAGCCCACACAGTGAGGGAAGGGGCAGGGGCAGACGCTACCCAGGTGGGCTGGTGGCATGGGACAGAGGTGCAGCTCATGGGGGTGGGGGCGGCTCCTAGTGCTGCTTGCACCCCAGGAGGGCGGGGGGCAGGCTGGAACTGACACTGTGTGGCTCTTCTCAATGGGGGCTGGGCTTAGAGTGGGTGCCAGCAGCGCTGGAAGGGGCTGCAGCCACCCCAAATTTTGCTGCCACTCTGCTCCCAGTCCCATGCCACCAGGCGCAGCCCGGCTCTAATCCCACCTCCACCCATGTGCTGGGAAGAGCTGAGGCTGTGCTGGGAGGCTGGAGGCAGCAGTGGCACTGGAAGCAAAGCTGCAGTGAAATCTGGGGTGGCTGCAGCCCCTCTCTCAGCACACACTCTGAGCCCAGCCCAGCCCAGCCAAAAAGAGCTGCAAGCAGTGCCGAAAGAGCCTCAGAGCGGACACCAGCAGCACTGGGAGGGGGCTGTATCTACCCTAAATTTCACTGCAGCTCCGCACCCAATGCTGCCGCTGCTACTAGTCACCCAGCACAGCCTCAGCTCTTCCCAGCACATGGGTGCAGATAGGACATAGAGCCAGGTTGCACCTGGGGCACGGGACTGGAAGCGGAGTGGCAATGAAATCTGGGGTGACTGCACCCCCTCCCAGCGCCACCAGCATCCACTCCAAGCCCAACCCCTGCCAAGAAGAGCTGCACAGCACCAGCTCTGGCCCACCCACTCACCCTACACAGATCTGGGGCGCAAACAGCTCCCCTACCCTCCTGGAGTGCAAACAGCGGCAAGAGCTGCTCCTCCCACCACGAGCCGTACCTCCGTCCCCACCCCATGGGCAGCGCCTGCTTCTACCCCCTCCCTCACCATGGGGGTATTGATCTGCCTCCCCACCACATCCCTTCCCTCCCTGCTTCCCTTCCAATTTACCAGCTGGAGGCAGCCATGAGTGCAGCATGGACATTTATCAGCCAAAATACAAGGCTCCATCATACCAGTATCCGATACAGCAAATTTTCTTTATAGTTTCATAGTTGGTAGGGTCGGAAGGGACCTAAGCAGGTCATCAAGTCTGACCCCCTGCCATGGGCAGGAAAGAGTCGGCTAGGTGATTGTCTAACCTGTTTTGAAGACCCCCAGGGTAGGGGTGAGCATCACTTCCCTAGGAAGTTGGTTCCAGCTCCTAGTCGCCCCAACTGTGAAGTAGTGCCTCCTGATGTCTACCCTGAAACTCCTCTCAGTCAACTTATGGCCGTTATTCCTTGTAACTTCCAGTAGTGCTTGGGGGAACAGGGACTCTCCCATTGCCTGTTGGTCCCCCTTGGCCAGTTTGTAGGTGGCCACCAGATCCCCTCTCAGCCTTCTTTTGTGTAGGCTGAACAGGTTCAGGTCCTGTAGCCTCTCCTCATAGGGCCTACCCTGCTGCCCCTTGATCATGGTGAGTGGCCCTCCTCTGGACCCTCTCTCTATGCTAGCCACATCACTCCTGAAGTGCGGCACCCAGAACTGGACGCAGTACTCCAACTGCAGCTTGACCAGTGTCGCAAAGAGGGGGAGGATCACCTCCTTGGACTGGCTCGTGATGCATCTATGAATGCATAACAAGGTGCGGTTAGCCTTCCTGACCATATCCCCACATTGGCGGCCCATGTTCATCTTGGAATCAATAGCGACTCCAAGATCCTTTTCTGCCTGTGCTGACAAGAAGGGAGTTCCCCAGCCTGTAGATATGCTATTGGTTTTTTCTCCCCAGGTGCAATACCTTGCACTTGTCCGTATCGAAACCCATCCTATTCTCATCCAACCACCTCTGTAACCTGTCCAGATCTAGTTGTAGCCTGTCCCTCTCTTCTAGTGTACTCACTTCTCCCAACATCTTAGTGTCATCTGCAAACTTGTACAAGGTGCTTTTCACCCCCTTGGCCAAGTCGCCGATAAAGATACTGAACAGTGGGGGCCCAAGGACCGAGCCCAGGGGAACCCCACTGCCCATGTCCCACCAGGTCGAAAATGACACATCCACCACTACTGAGTGCAGCCATCCAGCTAATTAGTGACCCATCTGGCTGTGTGGCGTTGACACCACAGTCGCCTAATTTTTTAATGAGGATGGGGTGAGAGACAGTGTTGAAGGCCTTCCTAAAGTCCAGAAAGACCACGATTTATATCAGTACCGATCCGATATCGGACCGATGTATTGGTGCACTTCTAGAATCAGTTTTTCAGAGACAGGTAGGTTTGAGCACCTCCAAACTGCCTAAATATATTTTATATAAGAGTAGGTCACCTGGCCTTTACCTACCTTTTTACATATGTGGTAACACAAGCGATCAGGCAAAATTCCCTTATTAACTAGAAATTTTATGGGACTGTGCATCTTGGAATTTATCCAGCCACAAACTTTTTAACAAATCTAATGAGGAAGCAAAATATGTGTATGGCCATTATCTAGAGCAGTAATTCTCAATCAGGGTGCTGTGAAATCCTTTTAAGGGTGACATAAATACTGCATCATATCTCCTATTTCACACTTGAAAACAAATGCTGCTTTCCAACACTCACTAAAGGATGGACTCAGTGTTGGGGACCTTGCTAGGTACCATCGAATACCTGATCTGCAACTTCTAAGCAAGCTAATAAAGAACCTGCAAAAAAAAAAAAAAACAACCAGAAAAATCCTCAGTCATCACCTATCAGGAGCTGGAATCCTGGTTCCTTCCTAGTTTAGCCTAAAGCACTGTGTGCAGAGATAGCAGTTCCTGTCTTAGCAAGATATTCTCCTCAGATGTAGGTTCTATGTTTATCTTCATCTTACTGGATGTTACTACACTATTCCTTGCAGCTGGTCAGCAAATACTCCTGTCTTGCAACCAAAATAAGCCACCCTGAACAAGCTCCAATGCTTCTTGGATTGAACTCCAGGTTCATGATGATCAACTGCTGCATGAGCTCCAGAGCTGAACCACAGCTTTAGTCTTTTCACTGCATGAATTAAATTCTAAATTCAAATTCTAAATTTGATCTAAATTACCTGGACATCTGCTGGAAGGAGCAGTTAGCCAGGTCGGACCGCTTACGGAAGTTCCTGGCTGAGATACAGGACCTCCACTTAACCCAAGAGGTGCACAGTCCCGCCAGGGGGAATGCCCTGCTGGATCTGGTTCTGGCCACAGGTGATGACCTGATGAGGGGACTCCAGGTTCTTGACCACCTGGGTGACAGTGAACATCGCCTACTGGAATTCACCAAACAGCGCAGGGTATCAAGGGGCTGCAGTAAGGCAGTAGCCCTTGACTTCAAGAGGGCCAACTTCAACAGGTTGAGGATATTGGTAGGAGAGGCACTGGGGTCCTGGAGAGTTGGGGAACTGGGTGTCCAAGATGAGTGGTCGTTCCTTAAGGAGATGACCCTCCGTGCCCAAGGGGTGACAGTCCCAGTGCAAATCAAAGGGGGCAAAAGTGCTCAAAAGCTCCCCTGGCTCACCAAAGGCATTCAGGAACACCTGAAAGCCAAAAAAGAGGCGTACACACAGTTGAAGGGAGGAGCTATCACCAAAGAGGAGTGTACCTCCATCGTTCAGGCTTCTAGCGGGGCTGTTAGGAAAGTTAAGGCAGATATGGAACTAGGGCTAACATCAAGGACAACAAAAAGTCCTTTTTTAACTACATAGGGTGTATGAAGAAAGCACTGGGTAATGTGGAGTCCCTGCAGGATACGGTAGGCAACCTGGTGGTTGCACCAGAGGAAAAGGCAGACGTTTTTAACAATTTCTTTGCCTCCATTGTTTATACAGGGACCAAGACTCCCCCACTGAAAATCAGGATGGACTCAGGAGAGACTCTGACAGGCCTAGGGTCAGGGAGGACCAAGTTAGGGAACTTCTGGAGGGGCTGGACATGTTCAAATCAGCAGGTCCAGATGCTCTTCACCCGAGGGTGCTGAGGGAATTGGCAGGAGTTATTGAGGGGCCCCTGGCACAGCTTTACGAGCACTTGTGGTGCTCTGGCCAGATGCCTGGAAGAGGGCCAACGTGGTCACCATTTTCAAAAAAGGGAGGAGGGAGGACCTGGGCAAATATAGGCCCGTTAGTCTTACTTCGATCCTGGGGAAGCTCTTTGAGAAAATTATCCACGAGCACATATGGAAAGGACCGGCAGGAGGGATGATACTCAGCGGCAACCAGCATGAGTTCATTAGGGACAGGTCCTGTCAGACCAACCTGATTGCCTTCTATGATCAGGTCACAAAATCATTGGATGCAGGTGGCACAGTGGATGTAGTCTTTCTGGACTTCAGGAAGGCCTTTGACACTGTTTCCCACCCCATTCTCATTAAAAAGCTAGGCGACTGTGGCAATGATGCCTACACATCAGATGGGTTGCAAATTGGCTGAGGGACTGCACCCAGAGAGTGGTGGTGGACGGGTCATATTCCACCTGGAGGGATGTGGGCAGTGGGGTCCCCCAGGGCTCGGTCCTTGGGCCCGCACTGTTTAACCTCTTTATTAGCGACTTGGACAAGGGGGTGAAAAGCACCCTGGTCAAATTCGCTGATGACACCAAGATCTGGGGCGAGGTGGGCACACTAGAAGGGAGGGACAGGATACAGTTGGACCTAGACAGGTTACAGTGGTGGGTGGATGAGAATAGGATGGGATTCAATACCAACAAGTGCAGGGTACTGCACTTGGGCAGTAAGAATCAGCAGCATACCTATAGGCTGGGGAACTCCCTTCTTAAAAGCACAGTGGCAGAAAGAGATCTTGGAGTCATTATTGATTCCAAGATGAACATGGGCCGCCAATGTGAGGACGCAGTCAGTAAGGCCAACCGCACCTTGTCATGCATCCACAGATGCATCATGAGCAGGGCCAAGGAGGTGATCCTCCCCCTCTATGCAACACTGGTCAGGTCACAGTTGGAGTACTGCATCCAGTTCTGGGCGCCGCGCTTTAGGAGGGATGTGGCCAGTATCAAGAGGGTCCAGAGGAGGGCCACTTGCATGATCCGGGGACAACAGGGCAAACCCTATGACGAGAGGCTACGGAGCCTGAACCTGTTCAGCCTCCACAAGAGAAGGCTGAGAGGGGACCTGGTGGCCATCTACAAACTTACCAAGGGGGACCAGCGGGGAATGGGAGAGACTGTTCCCCCGAGCACCTCCTGGAGTAACAAGGAATAATGGCCATAAGTTGTTTGAGAGTAGGTTCAGGATGGATATTAGAAGACACTATTTCATATAGTCAGGGCAGCCAGGATCTGGAACCAACTTCCAAATGAAGTGGTGTTAGCTCCTACCTTGGGGGTCTTTAAGAGGAGGCTTGACAATTACCTAGCTGGGGTCATATGAGCCCAGTATTCTCTCTTGCTCAGGGCAGGGGGTTGGACTTGATGATCTATTAGGTCCCTTCCGACCCTACAACTATGAATCTATGAATCAGTTAGACAATGTGCTAAAATGACACTGATACACAAATAATAGCCCATTTTGCATTTTAGTGAAGATATAAAAAGCATTCAGAAAATAACTAGCCTGGACTATTTAATATGTTCATAAATTCAAAGACTGATATTCTGAGGTGATGTTTTGTTATTTGTATACAAATGTCAGACACTGAAGACTTAGAAAGTGAAGATTAATACCAGAATGATCATCTATTACCTCTATAATAAAGGTTTAACACCAAAAAAAATCCATGGGGCAGGATGACAACATTAACAGATAATGCCTCTTCCTATGCCATAGGGGAAAAAAACTGGCAGCTACATTTAACTGTGAGATCAATACCGAGAGCGAGACAGTAATTGGGAAATTCTATATAGGCCACCATAACAGAAAAAGATGATATAACCCAATAAATGGTAATGAATGACAGAATCAGCTTTCAGGCACATACCTGAAATAGTAGGCATCAATACAGAGTCCATGAATGCCATCCTCAAAAAACATCTGGACATGAGAAAGGTTTCAGCAAGAGGGGTGGCTCAGAATCAAAAAAACCTTGACATTTCCAGAAAAACTCTTGATATCAAGAAACCTCTTTACCAAGCAGTAGAAATAGTCTCCACCTTCCAAGAAACTGAAGATAACATCAATTAATGTCATGGGGATAGTGAGACAGCGAAGCGGTGACTAAATGATTCTCTCTCAACAGATCAGTGAAGACCCTCAATAGACCACTGATACAGCAGTTTACTAGTATAGACTTGCTAGAAGTCCTCAAGAACAAGTGCCAGGAATGTTTTCTCAAGGAGCATTTCTTCTCCCAGACAAGGCATCAATTTGCAAATTCCAGACCGCAGTGACCACAACAACAAAATGTGGGTCTGAAATGCTTCCTCATCCAACTCATTCTTCAGATTTGGCTCCCTTAGACTTCTACCTGCTCCTCAAGTTGAATGTAGACTTTGTGGGAAGAGTTGCAATACTGAGAATAACACCATGAACCAACTGCAGGAATTTATGGACTTTCAGGACAAGGACTTTTGCATGAAAGACATCACGCTTCAGATGCATTAGACCAAACTGACTAATGTCAAGGGAGATCATACTAAAAAAAAAAAAGATAACTGAACACAAACTATATATTTTTTCTATTTTTGTAAAGTCAGAAAAATTCTGAATATTCCTTCATATGAGCTGTGTTGGTCTTAACAGTTCTGCCAATCTCTAGCAGAAGTAAGCTTCTGGAAAAAGTTCTGAGTTCAAATCTGGCTAACAGATTATTCGTCAAAATTCAGAAGAAAAATGCTTCAAAAAAGAACCTTCTCATATATTAAACATTTCTATTCTATCAGTGGCCCATGTTATATTCCAGAAGTGACATGTGACCTCATGATTGAACTCCACAGTGATTTTGGACACCAAAACAGCCCCAACAGAGGAAAATTCCTCCTCCTACTGCAACTTGTCAGTTGACCTTTTCTTCCCCGTCTCAGTTCTGGGCACAGTGATCAATGCATTTGTAATCTCCAGTCACAAACAACTGCAGTTTTTACCTAGGAACAAGACACACATCTTAGAAAAGCTCCATATAGAAATGCAGCAACTTAAGAACACAACACACTGAATGTATTGTTTCATTTTAAGTCACATCTCCTATTTGTGTGCAGATGAACCTATTCAAGGCAGCTGTCCCAAATTCAAAAGTCCCAGAAGACTAAGCTAACTACCTAACAAATCCTCTCACTCCTTTATGACCATGACTCTTCTTAATTAGTGGCCCCATCAAGAACAACCAACCAAGCGTTCTGATCCAAATGCATTTGTTCATTTACTTTAGTTCCCACTTGTCATAACCCAAAGGTATGATTTTGTGTGCGCTTTGGCACCAGAATTATCCCCACCAAATTACAGCTTCATTGCACGGTGGAGTTTTCTGCTGCGGAGGAAGGCTCCGGTGCAGGGACGAGTTTCCCGCCTATTTACAGCTTCTTTTGCAGGGTGCACTGCTCAATTTGCAAGAGAAATGCACGGTGCAAAGGAGTTCCCGCCACCCGCATGCAAATTGGTTCCCCGCTATTGGCTAGTTCTAAATTATTCACACGTGGCGGCTAGTGATTGGCTTGCTAGCCGTATAAGAGGCTTGAGCGGTTTCCGCCCAAGCCGAAGAGGACTCCACATCCATCTTGTGGGGACTCTGGGTACACGGCAGGGAAATAAAGACCCCGGTGTGAGATTCAGAGGAGCTTGGCGACCTGATCCATCGCCCACCTCTTCCCGTCTTCGAGCGATAAAAATTATAAGACGTATCTACGAGTCCAATTTTGGTGGCGTGCTCACCCAGAGCATCCGGAGCTCTGTTTCCGTGGAGCCTAGCAAACTCCACGTGACCGTTTGTGTTGTCTTTGTCTGTAACTGCAACTCAAGCAAGTTTTCCAGCCTCCACCATGACCATCTCTGGTGTAAGTAAACAATCTTTAAAACTACCGCTACGAGTCTGTGCCTAATTCTAGCTTGTCGCGCCCCTCTCTCCGACCCTGCGTGCCCGGGCTGCTGGCCACAGCCCGCGTGCAGCATGAAAAAGGGCCCAGCTCGCCCCCAGCCCGCCCACCACTCAGTCAGCTTCACTTCATTAAATCCACTTAAAAGGTAAAAATGAGTCTCCAGGACCATCTAAGTTTGTTACCTTCATAAATTAATGGGAAGGCTGTCAGATACTAGCTATGAAGGCCATAAATATATTTTTAAAAAGTAGTCTGGTGCAATAGTGCTTTCCCCCAATTTCTTCAGTTTCCTGCTAGACAAGTTCTCCCCTCTTGATGTGCAAAAAGGTCAATGTTCTGCCCAGGACATTTATTCAAAGGAAGACTAACTCATATTAAACTGAAAGGGCTGTTTAAAGTAGGGATTCATTTGTTGGTAAAAGCTTCAAGTTTGATTTATTTGAGGAAAAGAAAGCTGCTGTCAGGTTAGTTTCCTATATGTGAAAGCAGAGAATAATCTTAAAATATATACAATTTTAAATACATGTATTTAATGGTAGTATGTGTACGTGTGTTACATGCACCCCTTTAAATAATCTTTAAGATATTGCTGCATGATAATAATCTGCACTCTAAAGAAAGTCTCTTGTGTTAGAACTTTGGATTTCAATTTAAGACCTAAAAAATGAAGGGGAGAGCTAGAAGAAACAAACTTTGGGTCACTGTCCCTTTCCAGGAGATAGTGTGGAAGAGATCAGGACATTGTTAATAGCCAAAAATTAGTTTTACATTCCGACTAGAAATTTAAAGCAAACAGACCACAAAAGATGAACATGTGCTTTGACACTTTTAGATTTGAAAGGTACTTTATATTTAGTTGTACACATGGTGTCAGTATGCATGTTCTCAGACAATTCAAGTCACCATTACACAATTGTCACCACTTCAGATTTAGCACTATTTGTACATTAAGAAAAAATGAATGGCATCAGTCACATTCTATTGCTGTTCTCTCCCATCTTCTCTCAAAGAGGTCAAACAGGAGTATTATGGTTTTGGGGAATGGTGGATTGTTAACATGCACACTGTTTTTGCTAAAGACAAGCTTGAAAAAGCACATCAAGCACCCGCAAATCTGGCTCTTGCAAAGACAAAATTTACTCTTACGATAGAAAGTTCCAATGTTACTGAGGCAGGGCAGAGCAACACATCAAAGACTATCTGGTTAAAAAAGGAGGGAGGTAGTTAGGCAAGTTGATCTGAGGTCAAGCAGAAGATGGGGCAGGATGGTGACTTACAGATTAACTGATTCAGAGACATACAGCATCTGGCAACGTAAGCCGTTGTCTATGGAAACATGCCTTTTTGAACCAGTATGTCTCTAAGATTCCTGCCCGGTCTTCTCCCTGGTGTAGAGAGGCACATAGGCGAGGGATACTATGAATGGACTTATAGAAAGCAGAGCAATTTATGGAAAGAAAAGTAAATACAAAGAATAGGGGAGAGGGGCACTGCTGAAAAAGAAAATGTGAGCTGAATATGTCAACAGGGATAAACAAGGGTAAACCCAACGCAGGTGATATAAAATTAATGCAGGTAATGGGATAAGAATCCAGGGCCTCTGCTGAGACCATGCTTAATATGATCCAGTCTGTGGATGATTTGTTGTTCTGCGGTTCCATATACAAGCTGTTTTTTAAAAGTCTGTTGTTAAAACAGCTACTCTGGAGTGATGAAGTGTTCAGGGAGGTTGAAAGTGTTCTTCCACAGACTTTTATGTCTGTCTTTCTGGAATCCATTTCAAGAGGTGTTCATTCATTCTTTCTTCACATAGGGCCAGTCCTGTCTTGTCAAATACAGACAGCAGAAGGGCATGGCGCATACAAGTCTTGCAGAAGAGAGGGTGAAAAAAAGTAAACCCTGAATAACAATCTGTGTTGTTTGGTCCAGTGTTGGAATGATCTGCGTTGGGGGAAGGGCACAGTTGGCAACTGAGTCTGAAGCAAGGTCTGGTAACTTAATGAGATCGGAGTTAGGTAGTTTGTTTCTGGAGATGCGTTATTTGAGATTGAGAGACTGCCTTGTAGACCAAGACAGTCTTCTTTCACCAAGGCTACCTTGAGATGGTCAGCATTTTCCAGAAGGGGTTGGAGGTCATTAACAAAGTATTCAGAGTGTTCAAGCTGAGGGTTGCAAGTAGCAGGGGGATTTTATCCTTGTGACAATGGTTTGTAGTGTAGCAAGTGAGTGGGGTGCAAGTCTGGCTCTGCTGATTTCAGTGGCTACAGTTCTGGAACTGTAGGATACTGCTTCAAATACCTATGGTATGTATCCTGCTCAGCAGGGTCAGAGCAGATAGGGATGTAACAGAGAGGTTAACTATAGACAATGGATTCAGTGGCATGAATAGGATGAAAGCATGGAGTGGCTAACAATACAATGTGGTGGTGATGTAATCACTATGAAATTTCTTTTTCAATAAATGAATTTGCTAGGTGGAGTACTCAGGAGCAAGTTTGATGCAAGTTATTTAAGTTATTAAAGTCTTGGTTGACTCTACATAGTAGTCAGAACACTTTTAAGGCTACAGACCACACTGACCCAATTTGGATCAGAAGAGGGAAGATGGGTAGGTGCCAGAACTCAGCTGCCACTGGCACTTTTACTGGTAGTGGCATAGGGTCAGTGATTGCTACTGAAGCCACACATCCATGGGCTGGATCAAAAAGCTCCATAACTGGATCCAATTTACAAGCCATAAGTCACAGCCAACTCTTGCTCTAAAGATCCCTGTCCCTATGATGAAGAGATTATCAGTGCTCTTTAGCCATATCAATGAGAGGGCAGCTGCCATAGAAGCAGACTTCAAGGTTCATCATAAATGTATTCGTATACTGGGGAGAAGAGGGGGGCTGGTGCATGTGCCTGGCAGTGCTGTACAAGTAGTTTCCAAATCTGAAATAGCTGTGTAAGGACAAAGCAGGAGACTTCTGTTCTTGTAACATTACTCAGGAGTAGAGTGGTCAACCATTGTTTTCATCCTGGAGCTTTTGGTGATCTTTTAGATATGCTAGGCCCAGCCATTGATCACCTTAAAAAATAAAACTTAAGGCTTCAAACTTGACTTGACAGTCTACATGAAGCCAACACAGAGAACAGGACAGGTCTTCTTAAGCAAACATGCTGTAATAGTTAAAAGTGAGCTTGTGCTCAGTAGCTGATAACTTCATGCTCAGGTAATATGCTGCTTTAGTTCACACAGGAGGTAATGGATTGTGAAACAAAACCCAAATAGCCAATTCAAGGATGGAACTGAATCTTGTCAGAGATGGTAAGTACACTCACTGGTGCTACTGTAATGACAGTGAGAAATCCAGCAGCACTCCCAAACTAAAGGCTGAGTCAACCAAATGAAAGTTTCTTCAACTAAAAACAAATGTATTAGAGTTATAA